GGGACGACTGTTTTTTGTGGCGTGTATGCATATTGCTGGGTGCGAGTGTGTGGGTGACCATATGGCTCGGAGTATTGGTTCGCCTTGGGGGCGTCAGCTTCCCATGATCGGGGCGGGATGGGCCAGTCAGCGACCGCTCGCGTGGCTTTTTCCCAGACTTATCAAGTGGGAAGTTATCGTTCCCGGTGGTGCTGTGACCAATGTTGTTCTCGCTGCTGGTGCTCCTGTTGTGGGAGATACTCGCGCTAGTGCCGGGGTCGCTCTGCGTAGTATTGCTATCGTCCCTCTGAAGCTTGTTTACCGTTTTGCTCTTGGCATTATCACCGAAGCTATCAGTAGCTGAATCGGCCGTGTCCACGGTGTCTGTGTCGTTGTCTGCAGTGTCCTCGAGTGTGGCGTCGGTACACCGAATATCATTCAGATGCGGCGCTAATTCCATAAACATCTGTAACTGACGCTGCAATGGACTCACCCACAGATTGCTAAAGAACCTGCCCTTCATCCGTAACATATACACCGCCACAGAACTAAACGACGCCATCCAGGCCGCCAGAGCGATGTCCATGTCCAGGCTCTGATCGCACGAGAACTCACTATTCAGATGCTGGAAGTGGCGTCCTGTGCTTTGCTTCGACGTGTCTGTCTGTCGGCGTAGTTCTAGGATGCTCGACGTAAGCTGCTTGGTAGTGCGGTCCCAGCTGTGGTTCTCGAAACTACCGTTGATGATTGCGTTCAGCGTGGACGGGGTGGCGGACATCAGCGTATGCCCTATCGGTATGCTGGTAAGCGCCAGCTTGTGGCTGACGGCGTGGAGCAAGGCGCGGCCGAGTACCACACTGTATAGAATGGAGAAGACATAAATAATGGGATAAGTATACGCACAACCTACTGTTTAGTTTTGCTGTTTGAGTATTGATGCTTGTTAGCTAGCCTAGAAGACTGTTGGATAGTTCTGGACTGAGATTGGGCACGTCCGGCCTGAATGAAGTATTCGATATAACAGGCTACAACCACAGCGGGAGTCTGAAATAGTTTCACTTCATGAACATATTTGATATGATAAACTATATAATAATTCAATTGGCATATCACGTACAGTGATAGAGCAAGAGCATCTTTACCCGAGGACAATGCATCTAGCTATAACAGGGTAAAACCACAGCGGAAGTTTAAAAAAGTTTCACTTCATGAACATGTCTGATATGATAAACTATATGATAATTCAATTGGCATATCACGTACAGTGATAGAGCAAGAGCATCTTTACCCGAGGACAATGCATCTAGCTATAACAGGGTAAACCCACAGCGGAAGTTTAAAAATAGTTTC